GGAATGATCAAGCTTAACACGGATGGAGCTGTGAGCCAATCTACGATGGATGAGCGGGAGGTTGTTGTATCTTCCAGGGATTTAAATAGCGTTCGCGGTCACGTCGCGTTTATCACGATTACAGACATAACAAATATCATTGCGGTCATTGCGGGTACCGCGGTTGTGAATTATTTTAAATTTCACACAACTTATCTTAAGACATAATAATTATAATTATAATTATAAGGAATCATTTTTAATAACTTTTTTGAATGTTTTCTAAGCGAAAATGATATATATATATATATATATATATATATATATATATATATATTACATTCCAAAAATTTGGTTAGTGACCAAAGTGTAAGATTTAAAAATTTTGTGGTCAATTTTGATAAATTGAAAAGTTCAGAGATTTATTTTGAATATTTTATGAAGGATTGTTTAGCAAAGATTAGAAGAAGAAGAAGGGACATTTTGGTCTTTTGGTAATTTATGAATTTAATATTGGTTAGTGGTGTATTATATACGTGGAACGAAAGGAAAATTTTAGAGAAATTTAGAACCTTTCTTCATCCTTTCTTTCTCCTCTCTACGTGGGTGCTTGTCTAAGGTAAGAGAATGCTAAGTTTGTTATTTCTTGAAGTTTTAAGTTGGTTGAGAAAGAATTTGTAAATAATTTTTGAGGTTAAATTTGACTTGTCATGAGTTGAAATAAGAAATATAAATTGTTAGAAATGGATTTAGAACATATTGATTAATTAGTAAGATTTTTAGTTTGAAAAGATATTAGGGGATTTTGGATGATTAAGTGTAGTAAAGTGATCTAAGTTGAATTGAATATGTGTAGTTAAGCTTTAAGGGTTGAAGGGAGGTTATAGTGGAGGATTTAAGTAAGTTTTGTAAATTTACGGGTTAGGAAGAGTGAGTTCTGGGCAAAGGGTATCGGTACTGGATGAACAATACCGATACTTAAAAAAAAAGGTGATATTGGGTTTTGGGTATCGACACTGGAAGAACAATATCGATACCATAGGGTGAAATTGTATGAATCAGTCGTGTAGTATCGATACTAAAGGAGTAGCATCGATACTAAGGGTATCGATATTAGAGTAAAGGTATCGGTACCATTTTCAAAGATAAATTCCAATATGTAAGAAGGGTATCGATACTGAAGTATAGTATCGATACCACATGAGGGAAGTATCGATACTGTACCATGAGTACTGGAATTTGTGAATCAAGTGTGTTTTTTAACTTAAGTTTAGATGATTGATTATTAGTGATTCAAATTCTGATATTTATTTAGATAATATAATTGTGTAGATATTGATCGGAACCAAGATCCGGATGATTCAAAGTTATAAAATTGATCTAAGGTGCTAAGTGCTTAGCTTTGACTAAGTGAGACTAAGATGAGTGCATATTAATATGTATACGGCGTTTATGGAAATGAGACTTGCGATGAGTCTATTTCCAATGTTTTGATTGCATGATTCTATGAATACAAGCATATTGTTTATATAGTTTCTATGTGTACATGAATACATGTTTATGTGTTATATGCATAGTTATTCATGAACTATGTGTTACATGTTATCTTATGTGATACTGATCTATAAGAATATATGATAACAAGGTATAAGTTATATGAATTAGATCTATGTGAATACATGTATGCATGGTAACCTATGTGAACTGATATAAATGACCTATGTGAGTAAATGAAAAAGTAAGATAAGCTCAATAACAATGACCTATGTGATTGCATGAGAAATGATATAAGCTATGTGACTATGAGCTATATGAGTACATGTCTATGTGATTATACGAACATGTGATATAATCTATATGATATAGAACTATGTGAATAATTGAAAATGTGAAATGTGTAAACAGTAAACCCATAAGTATGTGTTATGAGAGCTAAGGGTATAATTGGCGTGCCAAGAGTCAAGGGTTCAACGCGGTCCTTCGGGACAATTCTACGAGGTCCTTCGGGACAATTCTACGAGGTCCTTCGGGACAATTCTACGAGGTCCTTCGGGACATTTCTACGCGGTCATTCGGGACATCTATGTGGTCCTTCGGGACATTATATGTGACACTTCGGTACAATTTATACGAGTTGTGGTGATAGTATTTGTGCACAACCTCAATGCACTCACATATTTTAAGTTCTCAGAAGTGTACCATGGGCTATTAAAAGAGATAAAATAAATAAAAAAATGTGTGATGATATGTGTGTTGCTTTGTGAAATGTATTATATGATATGTTACGAATGTTAAGTACAAGATTATATGTTTAAATGGTTGAATGGTTTTGCATAGTGACAATGATAATAATATTGATGATGTTGATGCTGCTGATGATATAATTATATATATGTGCACTTATGCTTTTGTTACATGGTATGTGTTATCGGTTCTTTATATGATTATATGAAATATTTAGAATATGATTAAGTGACAAGATGTTTTATTATATATTTTATATGCCTCATTAAGTCAACGACTTAGCGTGTGAGTGTTTCACACGTAGGTACAAAGAAGTCAGAAGAAGATCAAAGTTAGGACATGCAAGACTGCATATTATTACAGAAGATCAGATCAAAATTAATTGACGATGTATGTTCTTTTGTATATGTTATTTTGTTGGCATGTAAATGAAAGTTTAAATCAAGTATGCTCTGATAGAATTTAGTAAATTTACTTGAATTCAGTTAATGCAAATTATTAAGTTTTATGTTAAATTAGAGTATGAATTACTCCACGGTTTCGTTATGATATATTGTTCAAATTATAAACAAAATTTTAAAAGTAAATGTTTTGAAAGGTTAAGGTGACACCTCGGATTCGTATCTGGGTCGGATACGGGTTGGGGTGTTACAATATATATATAGTTTAACTAAATAGAAGACTTTAAAAATTTGGTAATATGATAAGATAATTAATTAATGATAACATTGTGAATACATTATTATTTAAATGATTGAAATTATGACTAAATTAAATAAAAATAAAAATTTATATTCTAAAACATTGTGAGTGGATTATGTTTTAAGCCCAACAAACCCTAAAATATTTTAATCCTAAACTCCCCCAAACAACAACCCACCTACCGTTCTATCCTTTCTCCCGTTTTTTTCATGCTTTCTTCTCCAATAGCGTCCGCTCCACCATATTCGTCGGTGGTGGAGGGAATTAGATTTAGGGATAAAAACTTTTACTTTTCTTGATTTCTTACCTTCTCAAATGGAATCCGAAGCCCGTTCTGTTGCTGCTGATCTTTGCGTGAATGGTGAGTCTTGTTGGATGTGCTCTCTGTTTTTGATTTTTTGTTTTTAAGTTTGCAGAGCTTTTTTGATTTATTCCTTCTATATTTTGTTGGATGAGCTTTGCGTTTTTTTATTGAGAATTCCAGCTTTTTTTTCGTTCTTTTTATTTTTTTATAGTAACGGTTGAAAAGCGGTAATAGTGTCCCGTTATCGGCGCTATACACTGTTACCAGTTAAATTGTAGGCGTGACAGACTGCTATCGACATGATTTAGCTACCCACCATTAAATTCAGAAATATCGGTTTCGGATGGTGGTGTGACCACAAAATAGCGGTCCACTATTTGAAACCCTGGTATCTTCCGAAACATTGAAGGCGAATGGATAATGGGGTACCATCGGAACATCTGTCATTGCTCCGTCCTTCATGCCGAGCTTTGGACTCTCCTGGATGGTTTAGTTATCTCTTGGAACCGAGGCTTTAGACAAATTGAAGTGAAAATGGACAAAGAGAGGCAGTGAGAATCCATAACTCCCTAGAGCAGACGCACGAATCATCAATCATCGGGATAATTGATGCTCTAGTTCGTCTTGGACCGATGTACTGCAATAATGGGGCTCCCGGTGCTGCAACATCCGCCTGATGATATTCAAAGTCTTTTTCACCTTGTCATGAACTCATGATGAGTGGAGAAGAAGATCAATCCACTGCTAATATAATTTGTTTTCTTTTGCAACCATATATATTTATATTATGTACCTTTTAATATGACATCTCCTTGTAATTATATCTATTTTTGTTACTCTTATGAACAAATTTTTTTATGCAATAAATATATTTATAATAATTATTTTAATATATGATTATAGGTGAAGTGATAAAATATTTATTTTTATAAATTTATTAATTTTATGTATAATAATAATTTTAATTTTTGGTTTTTCAAATTAAATTATTATTGAATTAACCTCCTAACATCGGTGAAATAGGAATTTTAACGTATATCAGAAATATATTACAATAATTTCAGTTTTTTCATGAAATCGAAAAGTTTAAACTAGAGTAGATATCTAATGAAAAATCTGGCAAATCAGTCTAATATATGAAATCAAAAAGTTGATCAGAACATTTTGGTTTTGACTGATGGAAACCTTTTTGTGATTCCAAGAGTATGATGTACTAATAATATCCTTGTCTGAATCCCAATAAAATTTGAAGACAGTTTTCTTAATGATGGGGAGTTCTAACGTCCCGAACTTCCCAATAATGAATAAATTGTAAAGTTTAAAAATTGTTGGGGGCCTAAGTATAAATATGAAAGATTGCAAAGTAAATTAAGGATATCCAAAAATGAATTGGTAATTTTTCACAACATTCAAAGTGTTATAATCAAGAATCAAGCAAAGGTGTAACTAGAGTTTTAATGGATTCCGAATTTGGTGGTAAAAGATGAGAATTCCTACTCTTTCCTTTTCTTCTAGCTTAATTTTTTGTATTTTAAAAGCTCTAATCGTATATATTTATAACTCATGTGTTGATTTTGGTAAACAAGGACCCTTCTGAGAATTGATAACATTCTTACAAAGGCATTACCAGAAATCCAAGTTGAACATAATAGGCGTGAACCAAGTGATTTTAGTGGTTAAGGGATTGTTGTTGTCTCTTGAAGTCTCGAGTTCGAGTATCGCAATGTAGGGGCATGGGACAAGTGCTTACCGGCAACAATGAGAAATTGAAGGAGCAATCGTTGCTTTTTCAATTGTATAACATGCAATTGTTCTTATTTTCTCAATATTAAGCAGGTCGATTGCTACATTGCTTATACAATGTTTAAACAATTTATTTTCCTTACCTCGGTTAGGAATGATGTGCAAGGTCATCATAATATTCAGAGATCCATTTGGAAATGATGTTGATCTCCATTTGCCGCACATCTCGAAGCCATTTCGGATCTTCTTTAGTCGCAAATCTTATATCCACATGGTGTGCCCCTAAACAAATGCATGCCAACATCATTTCTCATCCCAATTTATTATATATATATTGAACACGAATATATATATAGTTCCCAACAGACCTTGTTCAGCAACGATTGCAACAATGGTTTTGGATATGTTCTTCAAAACCCTGCTCAAATATCATCAAAATAGAATCTCAAATGTTTGTAGATGTTGTTCAAACCCTGAGTCTCTGTCTCCATTAAAAATATGCATGAAACTTGGAGAAAAAAAGATGTTACCCTCCACCACTCCAAGGATCTCTTAAGCCGTTAAAGAAGATCATATTACTCCCATACCTCTTCAACACCCTGTAAATATCCTGTTTCCACTTGTTTTAGAATCAATCATATTTTTCTCAAAAGACATGCATGGATATACGTGCATGAAACATGCATGCATGTATGTATGTAGGTAGGTACAAGATTGGATACTGACACGGCCACCAAATTCGGTAGTAATCCAGTTGGGTCTGGGATCAACGCCAAAGTCGTCTTTGCAGGTAGCTGCTCTCTCAGAATAGCTCCATCGTGACTCTGGAAATATGCTCTTCTTATTGTTCCCTTCCGTTGGCATAATCATTTCCGTACATGCCTACTTACATCAAGGAACAGATGAAACCGGGTCAAAGCTCAAAATGTTTTTATATATTTGAATGTAGATAAATATGTTAGTTTATTATTAAATACTATTTTGAGCTTGAACCAAAGCAGATTTAAGTATAACAATTGATTGTTGACGTTTAAATATAGCATGCATGTGAGTTATGCACATGAATTCCTTGGATGTTCTCTTTTATTATAAAGGTTCATCGGTTTTGCATTTCTTTATTTTGCTAAGTGGTGAAACCATTATGATTTTCTCTTTCGGTGAAAAAAAATGACAAAATTTAATCATGTGAGCTAAATTATAAATGACACTTCATTGAGCGTAGAACGTTAATAGGACTTTCATATTAATTTGAATATCTAGATTTACTTTTTAATAGTTTTTGATGTTGTTATCAATGTAATCAATATTAACTACACATTTAAAAGAAAGATAGAGATTAACTAAATTTGTAGTTGATATGTATTTTTTTGGTATAACAATTTCTAGTTGATACTGATGGTAAAACTACAATTTTAGTTGACAATATTCAATTGAATTTTTAATTATTTTATTGATTAGAAAATATTTAATATAATATATATTGATCAGTAGTAGAGAATCTTAACCAATATAAATCATTAACTGTTGAAGGTGAATGTTTTAATGTAACTAATGTCAAGATAGAGATCGTTGAACATAACCAAAATTCTAGTTGAGTTACTATAATTAAATTTATTGTTTAGAGATTATTGGGTATATTTAATAGATATTATTTAATGCTTGAAAATTTTAATGAAGAAGATTTTTTGTTATTTAAATGTTCTTTGTTATTAATTAATATGATCCAAAAGTTTCTTTGTTATTTAAGAATTTTCTTAGTGAAGAGGAGTTTAGCCTATAGGATTAAGAGAGTTGAGAAGGTTGTTATAGTATCGTTCTAAGGAACGATGAGCAGTGTAATGTAAGCAGAATCAGAGAAAGAAATGAGAAAAAATAGTAGAAAGACTAAACTTCATTCATATCATCGTGTTCAATTCTCAATAATCGAGAGCTATATTTATACAATTGATTAAAGCAAACAAAGAAGCTTAACAGCTCATAACCACCCCAACTGACACTTAACTGCCTAACTACACAAGAGCCATCAGTTGAAACCGTCCCAGCTCCAGCTCATACACCAACATTCCCCCTACTTTACTACTAGCTTCCTCGAGCCTTTTAACGAACGCAAGACACGCAAGACCATGAAACAACATTCCCCTTACAACAACTCTCCTATTACTTAACATCATTCGATATAACTTCTTGCTGAAAACAAAAAATTCGCTCAAGAAATTTAGTCACCATATTCCTCAATTGTTGAAAACAACAGATTTGCCTCGGATTTGTGAGACAAGTAACCGTTGTCTGTGTTTAAGAAACGCTGGAGCGGACAATGGTTTAGTTAGGACATCAACAACCTGTTCAAAAGCAGGCACCTCCTGAACTGATAGCTTGCCAGTAGTAACCATTTCCCTAACAAAGAACAAATCAAGTTCAACATGTTTGAACTTGGAATGCAGGATCGGATTTGCAAAAACAGCTACAGCACTGGAGTTGTCACACCACAAGACAAGTTTCCCATGAATGGGCACTCGCAGCTCGCCCAACAATGATTCAAGCCATACCATTTCCGCAGCAGCACAGTCAACACTCCGGTACTCAGCTTCCGCCGTAGAACAAGCAACTACCTGCTGTTTACGAGAACTCCAAGAAACCAGATTATCACTAAAGTAGATACAGTATCCCGAGGTCGAGCGTCTATCTTCATCTGACCCCCAATTCACATCAGCAAAGCCTACTAAAGACAACCGCGACGAGGCTGAAAAACGAAGACCAAAATCAGCAGTAGCCTGCAAATACCTCAGTATCCGTTTTACTGCTTGAAGGTGAACATCACACGGTGCTTGCATGAATTGACAGACCTTATTCACAGTAAAGACAATGTCTGGTCGCGTGATAATGATGTATTGCAGAGCACCGATAAATACTCCTATAATGAGCTGCATCCTCAATTGGTGTTCCAATGTCAACCGATAACTTGCAATTAGGAACCATGGGTGTAGGAAGGCCTTTAGCATCTTCAAGCCTACTTTTAAGCAACAAATCACGTATATATTTTTGCTGACTCAAGATAATCACATCAGCTTCTTGACACACTTCAATTCCCAAAAAAAAAACTCAAGACCCCATGGTCCTTTAGTGCAAACTGTTTGTTAAGAACATCGATCATACCTTGCACTTCTGTTTCACAGTTGCCTGTGATGATGATATCATCTACATATACCAGTAGATACATAATGTTGTTAGTAGTTTCCCTAACAAACAGTGAAGCATCAGACTTTGCTAACACAAACCTCTGAGCCACTAAAAACTCCTTTAACCTTTCAAACCATGCTCGGGGAGCCTGTTTTAGCCCATAAATGGCTTTGTTAAGCTTGCAAACCAAACTTCCATCACCTTTTTCTTAGCCTGGTGGTTGTGCCATATATATCTCCTCAGTTAGAACTCCATTGAGAAAGACGTTATTTATATCGACTTGCTTTAACTGCCAACCCTTAGCTAGTGCAAGCGAGAGCACGACTCAAACTGTTGTTGGCTTGACCACAGGGCTGAATACTTCATGATAATCGACACCTGGTTGTTGCAGAAATCCCTTGGCTACAAGTCGGGCCTTGTACCTTGCTATGGATCCATCCACATTTTGATTTTGAAAATCCACTTACAGTTCACTGCTTTCCTTCCACTCGGGAGAGGAACAAACGTCCAGGTGTTGTTTTTCACGAGTGCATCAAACTCCATTTGAGCAGCAGCTCTCCACTCAGAACTCTTCATGGCTTCTCGAATGGTCCTTGGTTCTTTATCTGAGCAAGCCACCTGAAATACTCTCGGCTTCCAAATCCCATTTTTACTTCGAGTCACCATGGGATGAACATTGGACTGTTCAACATCATCCTGAGCACTAGGAATTGATTCATTAATAACAACATCATCACTTAAAGCAACTGGAACACGTAACTCATGTGCACCATCAGCATTAGTCGTCCCTTCACCACAAGCCACAGCAGGCACTTTTAAACCATTACCTGTACACATATTCTCCACAGTGTCTACTGCGTGTGACGTGCCAGGGAAACACAGGTCAGGGCTGCGATTATAATAAACCATTGAATTTGGCACAACCTCTACACACCGTCTAGGTTGACCATTGTGTAACTCTTCAGAAGATTGTATTACGGGCAGAAAATTTGTCGAGGTGACAGTACCACAACTTGATCGACCTCCTTGCTTACCAGCATAAGGAAAAACTCATTCATCAAATACAACATGTCTTGAAATAAAGACTCCCACAATCATCTAAACATTTGTACCCTTTATATAACGGACTATATCCAAGAAACGTGTACCGTTTTGACCTGAAATCCAGCTTATGTTGGTTGAACGGTCTTAAAAGAGGAAAGTAGGCACACCCAAATATCCTGAGCATGGAATAATCAGGAGTCCGTTTATAGAGAATCTCAAAGGGAGACTTGCCACCTAACACTTCAGTTGGTAAGCGGTTTTTTAAATAAACGGCTAAAATAAACGTATGACTCTAGAAATTTAAGGGTAGTTCAGCCTCAGCTAGCAGTGCTAATCCCATTTCAACGACATGCATGCGTTTCCTCTCGGCTTTCCCGTTTTGTTCAGACATACTGGGATAGGAAATCCGTTGTTGAATGCCATTAGCAAGGAACCAACCTTTGAGAGCTTGATACTCTCCTCCTCCATCAGTCTGAACAATTTTGATTTTGAAGCCAAACTGAACTTCTACCATCTTGTAGAAATTTAAGAAACATTGCATAACCTCATATTTCCTTTTTAGTAGATAAAACCAAGTATGCCTACTGTGCACGTCTATAAACGATACATAATACGAATAACCATCAGCAGAAACAACAGGTACTGGACCTCAAACATCTAAAACAATCAACTGAAAAGGTTCCTTGTATTCAGTTAAGGAATTACAAAACGATAATTTATGAGCCTTGCTTTGTAAACATGTTGTACATACATGAGACATCTTATTGTCACTAGAACTGATATTACAAGTCTTCATTACGGCTCGAACAACAGTCATCGAAGAGTGACCAAGACGTTTGTGCCACAAGTCTATTGAACTCGACACTCTCGAGACATTATTCAACTGCCAGCTTGAGTCCTTCACAGTGTGTGGCAGCAACTGATACAACCCATCACGCGTGAGCCTCCCTTTCAACAGGATCTCACGAGTCTGTGAGTCATTCAAAAAATAGTCAAAAGGATGAAACTCGATAAAAACCTTATTGTCACGAGTGAATTGTGACACATACAGTAGGTTCTTCTTTATGTTTGGCACATGAAGCATATTTTGTAGCAACAAAGGCTTCGAATTACTCAACATACAAGACTGTCCTATATGTGCAATCTTAATACCTTCTCCATTTCCCATAAGTAGATTATTATTACCTGTGTAAACTGAACCAGAGTTGAAAACAGACAAATCATTGGTAACATGGTGTGTAGCTCCTGTATCTGGATACCAGACAGCATCAGTAGGTTTAATTGAAGTACTAACTGAAGGAACTGTTGAAACAAAAGCAGCTGGTGAAGATGACATCGAGGAACCAAATGAGTTCTTTCCAACAGTAGAACCAAACGATGAATCACTCGAGGCTACATTAATATGGGGCATTGACACTGGATATGCAACTTGAGGAGTAAGAAAGTGACCATTATGGTAGTATGGTACTGAACCAAAGGATTGCATGCCAGGAAAGACTAGGTTAACACCTGGATGACAAAAGAACATAGGGGTCTGAGCAAAACCAAGACTAACCAAGTGATTATATGCTTGCATGATGGCAGCAGATTGCTGTTTATCACCCGAGAAGACACGCGACTGTCTCCATCCTTCAGTAGTCGACGCAGTAGAATCAGGCACCCCAGAATAATCTCGATCAAACCTATGATAGCACTTATGTACAGTGTGGCCAAACTTTCCACACAATTGACATTGAGGTCAATTAGAACTGTTAAATCGACCACGACCTCTACCTCGAAAATTGTCACTTTGTTGAACTCTCACCGAATTTGGCTATGACTGAGATGCAGAACTACTAGTGGTCTTCTACTCATCTTTATCACTAGAATTAACTGCCATGTTAACTGAAGCACTTTCAAATAGGAAAATCTTCTGTCGAGCTTCACAATCAAGAAGCATCTCAGTTTGAACATCCAATTACAAGGAATCACGAGAGGCTATAGCAATTATAGACTCAAATTCCATGGACTGACCAGCCAAAAGAACACTGACATTTTCTTGTTCAGTTACTAAGCTTCCTACTGCGTTTAGCATATCACAAATGGACTTAACTTTTGCCAGGTATTCACTTACTGTTAAACCAGCCTTTCTTTGCGAGTGACGACTATGTCTGAGGGCTGATATCTTTGCACTAGACCGTGCACCAAAGAGTTGTGAAATAACACTCCAAATAGCAAGAGTTGTGGTGAGACCAGTGAGATGAGGGAGAACTTCTGTACTTACAGTGGTTAGGAGCCAAGATGCTAAGAGTTTGTCTTGCTGCCTATACACCACAAAGGTTGGGTTCTCTTCTTCTTGCCCTGAATCATTCGTGACAAACTCACTAGGAGTATAAAGATCAGTAGACACATATTTCAACAGACCATATCCATCAATAATCAACATCACTTGATGCTTCCACAAGAGGTAAGTGCTTTCAGAAAATTTTACAATATCATGCTTAGGAATGTGTTGAACACTCAAACTGACCGAAGGAGACGCCATGGAAACCAGTCAAGCAAGCGAATCAACCAAGAAGTCAAGAACGATCTTGTACCACCTGACCTTCAAGACTTGTAACCACCTTCAGCACCTGACTGTCACCGCGAAGGAACTGACTTCAATACATTGTGAAAAGAGCGAAAACAAATCAAGCAGCGAACAACGAAGGAGACTCCATGATTTGGCGACTGATACCATGTTATAGTATCGTTCTAAGGAAGGATGAGCAGTGTAATGTAAGCAGAATAAGAGAAAGAAATGAGAAAAAATAGTAGAAAGACTAAACTTCATTCATATCACAGTGTTCAATTCTCAATAATCGAGAGCTATATTTATACAATTGATTAAAGCAAACCAAGAAGCTTAACAACTCATAACCACCCCAACTGACACTTAAATGCCTAACTACACAAGAGCCATTAGTTGAAACCGTCCCAGCTCCAGCTCATACACCAACAAAGGCAAGTAATCCTTAGGGACTTTTATAATTTTCTCAATGCACAAGTTATGAGTCCTTGTTATGAGGATGGTAATTTATAGATTCATTAGTGTATAAATTACAATTTTGATAAAATAGTATTTTATTTCTTGACATCAAATCACATTAAATATTATCTTCTTTGAGTGTAGGTAATCTTCTATCTTATCTTCATTTTAGATGAATTAGTTTTCAAATCACAATTTTTAACAAATTTGATATATACTTAAATGTTGCAAAATTTGTAACAGTTTATGTATACATAAAAGGTGATAATATTTTGAGCATATATTAAAATATTGCAATATTATAACAATTTATACATTTTTAATAAAAATTTCACACGTCTTTTGGTAACATTTTAAATAGTTTACCATTTTTCTCCTTAAATTTGTTATTTTCCCCTAAAATTTCCACTAAAGTAAATGGTACTAAATAAAGTAGGAAATTTGTAGCGTGAGAAAGGAAAGAAATGGACCACATGTAGCATGTGCAAGCACGAAATTACTATTTATCTTTAATTTATTTTATATCTATAAATATGAATTAGAATCTTTGTATTGTTATTCTAATTTATATATATATATATATAATATTATATTAATTAAGAATATTTATTAATTGATAGATTGATTTTATTTTTTAATTTCATAAACAAATAAAAGAACTCATTGTATATATTATATTTAAAAATATATAGTAATAATTAAAAAACAATTCCTTTAAAATTATGATTAAACTTATTATTATATTATTTCTAAACTGAGAGCAAAAATGTGAAAGAAGGATATGGTTTTTGATTAAAAAAAAGAATGGTAGTAGGGGGAATGATTCTGGTACCTGCCAGCCCCACATATCGAGGCCATGAGGATCAGGAGAATATGCCAGATTGAAACACGTGGCTGTCCCAGAGTAATTATAGTATACATTAGCTGCACCGTACAACTTTGCAAATGTATCATTCCCTGTCTTTGGATCATCGATGGCATTACACATCTGCTCCAAAATTCGTTAAAAAAAGTACATTAAATAATAATTAAATTATAACAAGCAGACATGAAACAAGAATCAAACATCCAAAAGATTAAATTATTTAATTTTAAAAAATATGAAAATTTACTAGTTATTTAAATTTAAAATTAAAGAAATAAGATTTAATTTATAGAATATTATTTATTTAAATATGAAAGAAATTATGATTTAAAATTTTTTTTATTGAGTTACCTGTTTTACTGGATAAGCTGGCAAAGGATTCAAAAAGTTGGAGGGAGTTGGATAATCTGTCATGGCAGTGTAAACAAATGCTGTTTGAAGCCAACCCTCCAAAGCGTCCGCATCAATATAATTTCTAGAATTAATCATTTAAAGAGATGATTAATCTCAAAGATTTGGATTAAATTTATGAGATTAATTATTGAATCGACTTACTTGCAGATTCCAAATGATTTTCGGAGTAGCTCAAGTCCCCCAGATCGCTTGCCGGTGTTTTCAATTTTTTTCCACGATCCCATTATCACTTTGTAACAAGTTTCGCTTTCGCTCTGATTTCATAGATTTGTAAATATGTGAATAAGTTCATTGCATGTGATTCAACTGATCAATTTTGAGCATGAAACAATGTAGAATGCATGTGAAATTTTACCTAAACAAAAGTTCTTTTTTTTACTACTTTGTTTGGTAAAAAAAAATTAAATTGATGTTAGAATATTTTTAGAAATGTTCAAGGATTAGTGGTGAGAAAAAAAGAAGAAAAGTTATGAGAAAGAACCCTGAAATCTTGAGTGATGATGTTGTTGAAGCTATATGGTGATGTTATGTTCTCAAAGTTGAGGATTGGAGCTGAAGACGCCAAAGCTCCGATGGCGATATGCGGATATTTCAATCGAAACCAACTTGCCAGCACTGCCCAACATATTAACAAAAATTGAAATGATTGAATCTGTAGAGATTTCAGAGAAAAAAACAATAGAAAAGAAATTAAGGTTGATTTGATGATTTTTACTGTTTGATTTATTTTATAAGGAGTTTTAATTGTTCGTACTTCCACCGTAAGAACCGCCGAAAACCACCACGGGGGCTTCAACCGCCGTCAGGTTCTTCTTCAGATCAATTATCAAAGTGGCGTAATCCGCCAAGGCCTGCGTCGAGGTTAGATATCCAAGTGTACTTGCATTGCTGTAAGCAGTTTCTTTATCACCGCCGAATGGAATTGATTTTCCATAAAATCGATGCTGCAAATTCAGAGCATAAGACGTATCCTTTTTGTTTGGTCACGTAGAAAACGAAGGAAAATAAAAAAAAAATATTAGGAACTTAATGAATCGTACCTCGATGAAAACAAGAAGAGCATCAAAATCCGGTGCAATGTCGTACATGAATCCTGTATTTTGAGCGAACCATTCAATGTCTCCTTCATTTCCAGTGTAAACAAAGATTGGGGAATTCTTCTTCGGGCCACCCCAATAAGTGTCATTGATCAAATATCTATGCTGAAATCTCTGGTAACTCTTGGGATTGAAGTTGAAATGATCAAGAATTTGGGTGAAATACTTTGCTTTGTAAGGCTTATTACTGTTCTTTCGAGCAAGCTCTGCTCTAATGGCGGAAGAAGGAAATCTAGATGCTGGTTTAGCAACAGTTAAAGAAGAAATCAAACAAGAAAAAACAGAGAAAAGCCAGAAAAGTATGATCAAATTCTCTGTTATCCTCATGATTCTGATGAGCTTTGCTGGGTTTTTTGAGGGACAAACAGAATCTTTAACTTAAGTAATTAATAACTGTTGGAATTGAAAGAAATAGTTGGTTTGGAAATGGTTTAGAATTTAGAAAGTTGTAGGTAGGACCATTGAAATAGCAGGACATCATGGGTGGGGTGGCCAACTTTTTCCATTGTCTAACGTTTTCTTCCAATTTGGTCATCACACTTTCATTCATTAATTTCAACTTCATTTTATTTATTTAAATTGTCATTTTAACACTGTTTTAATTGTATATACAGCACATAAAAGAAGAAAGCTACAATTTTGATGCTGACATTGGGGAATCTTTTGTTGTTTTATTTTTTAATAAATGATGAGAGAATATAATAAAAATTAATAATTTTCAGGAGGAAAGGTTCATAAAATTTGATGTAGACTAATCAATCATATCTCTTCAAATTATAAATAAGATAAAAATTAAACGTTGAAAATAAAAATAAAATTATACAAAAATTAACTTTTTAAAAAAAAATAAAAATAAAAGAGATAAATAAATTGAAAGTGAACGATAAATACTAATTAATACCGACATAATAATAGAACATAAAACGTTAATAGTTGACTTTATCACAACTCAAACACAATATATTTTGTGGTGATTGTAATCACCTATCAATATGATAGTTTCAACTCGAGGGTCCAAAACATGACATATCAACAAGATAACCAAAAAACCACTAATTAAAAATAACAATTTTTGAAAATAAAAATATATTATCAAAACATATGACAAGAGCAGACAAAAATATATACTGATTTTTCACTTTTTAGATATCTATATTTGATAAATTTAAATATATATACATATCTTATCATTATATTCTTTTATAGTTAAGAGAGGTAGAGTTCAAACTATAAATAAAGAGTATCAATACAATTTAATTAATGTTATCTAAAAATATACATATGAACAATATTTGGTTTTAAATATACGAAAAATTTATAAAAACTGAGTTAAATATATATAGAGGCAAGATACACCAATATAATGTAAAACTTAAAAAAATTATATTTTAAAATTGTTGGATGAGTAAAAATGAATAATCAAAATTAATAGTAAAATAAAATTACTTTTACGAAATAAATTACTTTGTATAAAAGTTTTAATGTTCACCATAAATTATTTAATTCATCAAATTCAAAAACGAATAAAACTTTTAATCTTATAATGTATAAGTAAACCCTAACTCAATGTCGTTTGATATTAAAAAAAAAACGTTAATCTCAAGAATTTAATTATAGTTGTAAAGGAGTTGATCCCTAAGATTGACAATTTGTCCAAAGGTGTGCCGGCCTGGTCCCCAACTAAGTGGCCTAAAATCACGGGATCTTCCTTTGTTTTTTACCCTTTTTTTCTAGTTAAAGTACTTTGTATACTTTGTAAATTACGAAAAACTTACGATCATTTTGATAATAAATATTTAAATATTTTGTAGATATTATGTTTGTATCCAAAAATATTAAATGTAATAATCATTCATGAATCATCAAAATTACTTGATCTGTATCATTTTTTCAATTAAATTAACCATTTGTACAGAAGTTACCTATTCCCAGTAAAGTGTAAACCATTTTTCGTGTAATTAATTGTATGAATATTTTTTAACTCCCGCATGATACGAGATACTTTATAAATAGAAATATTTGTATATCGCATTAATAAATTTAATATTTTTATTAGTTTTAATGAATAAATTGGCATCTGAACTAAATTTAACTTTTTTACCCTTAAAATTTATTTGATAAAATTTGATCTTTAAAGTTTCATCTTCTTCTATTTTAGAATTTTTTACTAATAACGTTTTCGACCCCAGTTTGCTCACTTTTCCTTTCGCTGCCGCTAGTTCATTTTTTTTATCTTTGATGATAGTTTTTGTGTTGATCATCGACCGTTGATATTTATTATTTTTTTAATTTTATTATATCATATATTTTTTTCTTTTTTTATTATATCACATTTTCATATGTCTTTATATCAAATTTTTAATCATTTAACCGTTATTTTCATTTATCATTTTTCTTATAATTGATTTTGATATCACTACGTGGGATCCAATCTCAATGAGCCTTTATTTAGGGTTAATTCTCTTTCTTATTTTTTAACCAGCCAGATGATGTCTTGTGGTATTATTTGTTTGGTTGTTAATTAATTTGAAAAAGACAAATAATTATTTTTTAAAAATTTGTTGACGTAGAATTTCATGTGAACATGTCATGTCAACATTTTAGTTCACGTGGACATGTCATGTCAATAAAAAACGTTGATAATTAATCAATTAATGATTTTCATATAATTAGGGACATTTTATAATAAAACGAAATGTCGGGATCAACATATTTAAAAAAAAATAAGGGTCAAAATGATACTATTATTAAACACTAAGAGTTTTTTTTTATCATTATGCCTGATAGTTATAGATGCACTACTTCTTTTGAAGTTGCAATTACATTATAATTAATATACATATGAGCAATTATAATTAAATTTAATTATTAAAACTACAACTACAATCAATATATATGCATAAGTGCAATTACAATCAAGCATTATAAATATATTAATGGATAGTTTAATAATTGAATATATCTAGACTTGTATCTAAATAAATCTAAATAAAATTTAAATTAAAAATTTACACAAAATTTACGTACTATAAGACTCAAACCCAATCCCCTCAAATGCTCCATATCCTCATCGAGGGACGGATTCAAGATGTAATTATGAGATGACAAATTATTTAATTTTATATTCCTAAAAAATAATTAAATCATAAAAATTAAGAGATTAAAGATTTAATTTTATTAATTTTAATATTTAAATATCTTAAAAATATAATTAAGCCAAACAAAATTAGGATTAAAGCTTAATTTCATTAATTTAAAGCTAATAGTGTCCTAGAAAGGTGTTTGGATCGTAATTTAACAGAAGATGAGGTAAAATCGAATTTGATCGTAATAAAAAAAAACCTCGCTCCACCGTTGTTGTTTGGGCAGTGGTGGACCTCTACCACCCTTGCTTTTTTCTCGCTCTCTTTCGACCACTTCTCCAAAGATCTCTAAAGCCCAACACCGTGTACGTTGAATCCTTTTTATGTTCGTAGAACAAAAGTTTGGTCGGCTGCCCTGGTGTTTTTGGGGTTTTCTTTATGATTCTGTTTCAAAACGTGAGTCTCTGTGTGGGTTTCTAGTATGCTTCTGGAGTTAGCTTGTGTTAGTTAATACTGCATGCAACCTATTTGTGTAAAAGCCACAGTGAACCAGTCTATTGCTCGTTTGATAAATAAATGTAGAACAAACATTTAGAGCCTGGTTTTCTCCTATTTGTTACCGCCGCCCTGGTTGATTGCCCAGCTGCTTCTCCCGTTTTCGATTTAGGAAGCGTTCATGGAGTTTTGTTCAATGTTGTTCGTGTTCATTGCTTTTGGAAGTAGTAGGAGACTTTGTGTTGGAGCTATTGTTGCGTTTGTTAGGTTCGGTAGCAAGCATGAAGCCAGTCGTGCGATTCGGAGGGCAGATGTGAGGTTGTTGGAGGGGTTTATTTCTAAAGTTTTCCTTGTTGTTTCTTCGGTGATGAGGAGGTGGAATCCGACTCTAAGAGATTCTAGGTATTTCAAGGTGTTTAGTGTAACACCCCAACCCGTACCCGACTCGAATACGAGTCTGAGATGTCACATTGACTTTTTAAAAAAACAAAATTCTTAACAAAATACAGAACCTTTGGACTTATATTAAGAAAATACTATTAAATTATACTTCATTATAAAAATTTAAGGCAAAAACGTATTTATGAACAGTATTATACGGTATGAACAGTAATGAACAGTGCTACAATGCTACATTGCATCGATGCATTGCTACAGTGCATAGATACACTAAAATTTTGAAGTAAAATTGTGCATCGATGCATTACTACAGTGACTTTCGTAAAATGTACATAAAACTCGTAAAAATTTAACCGTTCATTACTATGCATTTATATTTACATAAATACGTTTAAAACATTACAAAACTCGATCAGAGCATAAATACTTAATTTACCGATTTTGTTTACATGCCATCCTATTTAACCCATAACAATACATACTATTTAATCTACTTCTTATCTGACCTTCAAGTGGAGTTATGTTGTTTTGCTGAGCTTATTATGGATCTCTCCGCTTTTCAGTACCTACATGTAAAACACTTACATGCTAAGTCATAGACTTAGTGAGGCATAATTATAATAACAATGAAATGTAATAATGATGACATAATAAGATGAAATGTAATGAAATCAGCTATGCAATCCATGTAATCTGTATAACAATGTATCTTACCAATAATCCCATCAAATTAGCTATCATGAATTCATATAATAAGTTCAATATGTTCAATAGGTTCAATAGCCCATGATACAATACTAAGAACCCGAGGTATGTGAGTACTGTGAGGTTATGCACAATGCTGTCACCACAGCTCGTATAAATTTGCACCAAAGTGCCACGTAGAATTTGTCTCGAAGGACCGCGTAGAAATGCACCGAAGTGCCACATAGAATTGCACTGTAGTGCCATATAATATGTCCCTAAGGACCACATATAAATTCCTTAAGAATCATATACATATACCAAGGATCAAGTAGGTGTCTCAAAAGACCTCATACATGTTCCAAAGAATACATATATGTCCCGAAGGACCACATAAAATTTTGTCCCGAATGACTGCGTAGACCCTCTACTCTTGGCATACCAACTATACCTATAGTTCTCATCTACATAACATGGGCTTTCACAATTCACATAGTTTATATTGCGTAGACATATCATTTCCATACCTTTATCACGTAGTTCATATAACTTTTCCTGCATATTCATGTCACATAATGCATATGATATGAATTCATGTCATGTATAATAATATGAAATGTCATCATGTATCAAAATATTGAATCTAGACTTATCACAAGTCTAGAACTGAATATAATACTATATTCATGCTATGCATATGCACTCACCTATATCT